CTATTTTGGGCCTTTTGAGATTCCATATTAATTTTAGGATGGGTTTTCCTATTTCTGCAAGCACATCAAGTTTTTGATAGGGATTGCATTGAATCTGTAGAACACTTTGGGCAGTATTAACATTTTAACAACATTAAGTCTTCCAATCCATAATCATGGGATGTGTGTCCATTAAGGTGTGTGAGTTGAGGTAGCTTACTATGGATTTCTTATTACTTGATAGAAGTTCTTTTTTATGTTCTGGACACCAGTCTTTCAACAGTTATATGTGATGCAAAACTCCCCACTCTGTAGCTTATCTTTTTGCTCTCTTTATGACATATTTTGATGAACAAAAGTTATGAATGGAAATGAAATTGTATTTATCATTCGGTTCCCATATGGTTAATGTGTTGTTGTGTTTTTTGAAATCCTTCTTGAACCTGAATTTCTGAAAATACTCTTCTATATTATCTTCTGAAAGTTCAGAGTTTTGCTTTTCAAATTTAAGTCATTAGTTGATCTAGAATTGATTTTAATTATGGTATGAGTGGAGTTCCAAAGTAATTTTTATATGGATACCCAGTTGTCCTGTTGTCATTTATTGAAAAGGCTGTCTATTACCCTACTTCTCTACATGTCATCTCTGTCCTATATTAAGTATTAATACATGAATGATTCTTTTCCTAGGATCTTCATTCTATTCCATTGGCATATCTGTCTATCCCTGTATGAATGCCACACTACATCAATTACCATATGAGAAGTCAAAATATCTGACAGAGAATGTCCTTCCACCATTTGTACTTTTTAAAGAGTGTGTTAGCTATTTATTGATCCTTTGCATTTCTATACACATTTTAGAATTAAATTTTTAATTTCCTCAAATACAGTGCAATTTTATATGGATTTCATTGAAATCATAAATCAATTTAGAATGAACTGATGTCTTTAAATCATTATTTTGTGATCCATTAGTGTGCCATATCACTTCATTTAATTAGGTCTTCTTTAATATCTCTCAATAAAATTTCTTAATTTTTTCTGTAGAAAATTTACACATCTTTTCTTAGATTTCCTAAAAAATCTACTTTCCTAAGTATTTTCTATTTTTCATACTATCGTAACTGGTATCTTTACCTTAATTTCATCTTCTGTTTCTGGTATATAGAAATGCAATTATTTTTTTGAATGTTGATTTTGTATGTAGCTATCTTGCCTTATGTAACAGTTTCATTGAGTATAATTTGCATAACATAAAATGCAATCCAATTATTTTTTTAGTAAATGTACACAGTTATACACCATCATCATAATCCAGTTTTAGAACTAAATTTTCTCCAACATATGTTATTTTCTTCAGCATGTTATTTCCACCTTTTGGCTGTTGTAAGCAGTGCTTCTATGAACATATTTGTACAAGTTCTCATTTGAACATCAGTTTTCAGTTATTTTGGGTATACACCTATAAGTGGAATTGCTGCATCATATGGTAATTCTATGTTAAACTTTTTGAGGAACCACCAAATTGTTTCGCAAATGGCTGCCGTATTTTACATTCCCACCAACAAAGAACAAGTGGTCCAATTCCTCAAAATCCTTACCAAGATGTGTTATTTTATTTTTTTTATTTAGGTCTATCCTAGTGAGTGTGAACTGCTATCTCATTGTGGTTTTGATTTCTGTTTCCCTGAAGGCTAATGTTGTTGATCATCTTCATGTACGTGTTGGCCATTTGTTTGCATAAATGCTTTGCATAAAGCATTGCTTTACGGATAAAGCAATGCATAAATGCTGCTTTGCATAAATGACTGTTCAAATCCTTTACCTATTTTTAAATTGGATTTGTCATTTTGTTGTGGAGTTGCATGCGTTTTTTAGATATTCTGGATAGTCGACTTTTACCAGGTATATGATTTGTAAATATTTTCTCCCATCCCATGGATTTCCTTTTGACTCTGTAGATAGTGTTATTTGATGCATGATAGTTTTAAATTTTGATGAAGTCTAATTTAACTACTTTTTCTTTTGTTGTGATATCTAAGAAACCACTGCCAATCCCAAGGTCATTAAGATGTATCCTATGGGGCTTTTTAAAAATAGACTTTATCTTTTAGAAGAGTTTTAGTTTCACAGCAAAATTGAGCAGAAAAAACAGAGTTTCCGTATACTCCCTCCCCCAACCCCACATGCACAGCTTCCCACACTATCAACATCCCACAAGAATGGTATATTTGTTACATTTGAAGAACATACATTGACACATCATAATCAACCAGAGTCCATAGTGTTTACGTTAGGGTTCATTCTTGGTGTCGTATATTCTATCAGAATTTACAATTGCATAATGGTATGTATCCACCATTATAGTACTATACAGAGCATTTTTGTCACCCTAAAAATATCCTCTGTGTTCTACGCATATATCCCACCCTCCTCCCTAACACTGGCAACCACTAATCTTTTTTACTGTCTCCATAGTTTTGCCTTTTCCAGGATGTCATATAGTTGGAATCACATAGTATGTAGCCTTTCCAGATTGGCTTCTTTCACTTAATAATATACATTTAAGGTTCCTCCATATCTTTTCATGGCTTGATAGCTCATTTCTTTTTAGTGCTGAAGAATACTCCATTGTCTGGATGTACCACAGTTTATTTATCCATTCACCTATTGAACGACATGTTGGTTCTTCCAAGTTTCGGTAATTATGAATAAAGCTGCTACAAACATCCATATGCAGGTTTTTGTGTGGACATAACTTTTCAAGTCCTTGGATAAATACCAAGAAGCATGATTGTTGGATCATATGACAAGTGTATGTTCAGCTTTGTAATAAACTGCAAAACTGTCTTCCAAAGTGGCTGTAGAATTTTGCATTCCCATCAGCAATGAATGAGAATCCTTTTTGTTCCACATCCTCACCAGCATTTGATGTTTCAGTGTTCTGGATTTAGGCCATTCTGGTAAGTGTGTAGTGGTAACTCGTTTTAATTTGTATTTCCCTGATGACATATGATAAGGGGCATCTTCTCATATGCTCATTTGCCATCTGTATTTCTACTTTGGTGAGGTGTCTGTTCAGGTCTTGGGCCAATTTTTAAACCACGTTACTCATTTTCTTGTTGTTGCATTTTAAGAGTTTTTTGTATATTTTGCCTAACAGTTCCTTATCAGATGTGTGTTTTGCAAATATTTTCTCCCAATCTGTGTCTTGTCTTCTCATTCTCTTGACAATGTATTTCACAGAGCACAAGTTTTTAATTTTACTGAAGTCCAGCTTATCAATTATTACTTTCATGGATCATGCCTTTGGTGTTGTATCTAGAAAGTCATTGCCATACCCCACGCCATCTAGATTTTTTCCTATGTTACTTTCCAGGAGTCTTGCAGTTTTGTGTTTTAGATTTAGGTCTAGAACCCATTTTGACTTAATTTTTGTGAAAGGTGTAAGGTCTGTGTCTGGAATCACTATTTTTGCATGTGAATGTCCAGTTGTTCCAGTACCATTTGTTGAAAAGTCTGTTTTATCTCCATTAAATTGCCTTTGCTCCTTTATCAATGATCAGTTGACTATATTTATGGCAGTTTATTTCTGGGCTTTCTATTCTGCTCTATTGACCTATTTGTCTATTCTTCCATCAATACCACACTGACTTGATTACTGTAGCTTTTTAGTAAGTCTTCAAGCTGGGTAGTGGCAGTCCTCTGACCTTGTCCTTCTCCTTCAATATTGTGTTGGATATTCTGGGTCTTTTCTCAATCCATATAATCTTTAGAATCAGTTTGTCAATATCCAAAAAATAACTTGCTAGTTTTGAGTGGGATTTTGTTGAATATCTAGATCAAGTTGGGAAGAACTGACATATTGATAATATTGAGTCTTCCTATCCCTGAACATGTAATCTCGCTCCCTTGATTTAGTTCTTCTCTGATTTCTTGAAGGTTTGTAGTCTTCCTCATATAGATTTGTACATATTTTTTAATGTTTGTACCTAAGCTTTCATTTTTGGGGGTGCTAATGTAAATGGTATTGTGTTTTTCATTTCAAATTCTATTTGCTCATTGTTGGTATACAGGAATGTGATTTTTTTACATATTAACCTTATATCCTGCAACTTTGCTAAAAATGCTTCTTGGTTTCTTGTTGATTCTTTCAGATTTTCTACATAGATGATTATGTCATTTGAGAACAAAGACAGTTTAATTTCTTCCTTCCCAATCTGTATACATTTTATTTCCTTTTCTTGTCTTATTGCATTAGCTAGGTCTTCTAGCATGATTTTGAGAAGAAGTAGTGAGAGGGGACATTGTTGCTTTGTTTCTGATCCTAGTGGAAAAGCTTCCAGTTTTTCATCATTATGATATTAGGCATAGGCTTTTTGTAGATATCCTTTATCCAGTTGAGGAAATTCCTCTCTATTCCTAGTTTGCTAAGAATTTTGTTTTTTCTTGTTGTTGTTGTTTTCTATCATGAATGGATATTGTGTTTTGTCAAATGCTTTTTCCAAACTATTGATATTATCTTGTCTTCTTTCAAATGTTGAAAGAGGTTCCCTGAAAAATCTCAAGACTTGTTCTTTCTCCTTATAAAAAGAGAAATGTTCCAAATAATTTGATATGTTGAATTGCATGTAAAGCATTGTCAAATAAGAGATGCTTATTCTTCTCTATGTTATGTGTGTATGAATAAATATTATTAATATAAATATCTCAGAAATTTTATAAAGTTCATAGAAATTTGCCAATGACCACACTGTCCATATGTTCTGATATAATGTTATCAGCCATAATTCCAGTTATTATCTTAAAATTTTGCATGTTAGAGAAATAACCATATTTCCTTGTGAAAGGCTCTCTCATCAGATCTTTAACCATGGCCATTTTAAGTCCTTTGTCGTGCACAGATCATTTTTATTTTGCTTTGATTCTTCTTTGAAAATGTTTGCAATCTGCTACAGGCCAGAATGCATCATAACAGCATTGCTTAACTAACTTTTAGACCATGCTACTGGACAAAGTAAGGATTTCCAGAACTTAGGTGAAGAAGTTGATACATTCATGAAACTGCTAACCAAAGATCAAGCAAAACAAGAACTGATTATATGGGACTAAATGAACCAATGAAGAATGATTATAATTTTACAGCTTTTGTTTCAAACTTTCTGAATCTTTAATGTTCTCATTTCTGGATATAAGAATCAACTTTCTCTTTTCTCTCAAACTATCTATAACCCATAACAATTTAATAGAATATATTTTTGCAAAAAAAAAAATTTATCTTTTTTTCCCTATATAATCCCTCCAGAATTCAGAAACTTATCATTTTTATTTTTGTGGCAATATAGTTATTTAGCATTAGTTCAATAAAAATCTGTTTCCCATGAAACACAACACAATTGAAAACATTGGTTATATCACCAAGGCTTTAAATGGAATGCCATATTTGAGAATGACGTATAGAATCAGATATGGCCGGGCAGCTTTAAGGAAGAAAAGTTGACTTTATGGACCCAGTGCTTACAATGCCCTCCTGGAAAAACCAGCCTGATACCTGGCTTCCAGTGTTTCCAATCTCTTAGGTGAATAAGGAAGGTTATTTCCTGGCATGCCTAGAAACTTTGTGACACTTTGGGGACCTTGAGAAGAGAGGAATTCATCCAAATTTGTAGTTACCACAAGTGATGTCTAGTGGTGAGTTTTTGGCTTGGCTTCTTAGCCTTGAGAGGCTTTTAAAAGTCTAATCTGAGATTCTTTATAAAAAGTCCCAGCAAAGCAAACTCAAAAAGGCCTATGTGGTCAATTATCATTCCTGCTGCACTTATGTAAATAATCAGGTCAAATCTAACGAGACTAAACTTATTTTGTAAACAAGAATAATCTTACTTTTGTTATCTTTGATCAAAAAGGAGGATGACTGTAGAGAGACATTTTATGTTTAAACAGAAAATTATAGCACACTCTTGTGAATTTTCAATTCTTCTAGCTTCCTCCAATATCTGGCTAAAAGTGAAAAAGTGTGACATCTCCAAATGGTGATAACAAGGTGAGGAAATGGGATAACTCGTACATTAATGGTGGGAATGTAAAACTGTACAATCACTCTCGAAAATATTTTGGCAGTTTTCAAAAAAGAAAACTATAAAGGCAGCTAATATACAATTCAGGAATTTCATGTCTGGTCATTTATCCCAGAAGAATGCAGATCTTTATACAAAAGATCTGCACACAAAACATGTGCACAAATGTGTATAGCAGCTTTATTTGTAATACCTCCAAATTGGAAACGACCCAGGTGTCCTTCAGTGGGTGAGTGGTTAAACACACTGTGGTACATGCATACCATGAAATGCTATTCAGATATAAGAAAGACTGAACTCATAATACATACAATAACTTGGATGAATCTCCAAAAGACTAAGCTAAGTGGAAAAAGCCAATTCTGAAAATTTCTATATTGTATGATTCCATTCTTATGTTACAAAATTATAGCAGTGGAGAACAGATTAGTGGTAGCTAGGGGTTAAGGGGTGGCTGGGGGTGGGGAGGAACTGGGTTTGGCTGTAAAGGGGCAATGTGAGAGATCCTGTGGTGGTGGAAATATTCTCTATATTGACTGTATCAATATCCACACTGTGGTTATATTATACTAAGTGCTGCAGGATGTTTTTATTTGAGCAAACAGCATAAGGAGTACAAGGGATCTCTGTATTACTATTTTTATTAATAATTTCCAAGGAGACCCTTGGTCTCTTTTTGCCCTCACGGTGGCCCATGAGTTAGGTCATACTTTGGGTATGCGACATGATGAAGAATTCTGTTTGTGTGGACAAGGTGGTTGCATCATGAATGCTGTCAGAGTGCCAGCAGAGAGATTCACCAATTGTAGTTATGCAGATTTTACAAAGACCACCTTAAACCAAGGATCATGTCTGCACAGTCCTCCAAGTCCAGGGGAAGTCTTTGTGCTGAAGCGCTGTGGGAATGGTGTGGTTGAAGGAGAAGAAGAATGTGACTGTGGATCTATAAAGCAATGTGAACAAGATCCCTGTTGTCTGTTGAACTGCACTCTGAGGCCTGGGGCTGCTTGTGCTTTTGGGCTTTGTTGCAAAGACTGCAAGTTCATACCACCGGGAGAACTCTGTAGACATCAGGTCAATGAATGCGACCTTCCAGAATGGCACAATGGGACATCCCGTCAGTGCCCAGAAGATGGATATGTGCAGGACGGGATTCCCTGTAGTGACAGTGCCTACTGCTATCAAAAGAGATGTAATAACCATGAGGAGCAGTGCAGGGAGATTTTTGGTGAAGGCGCAAAGAGTGCATCTCAGAACTGCTATAAAGAAATCAACTCCCAGGGAAGCCATTTTGGCCACTGTGGTATAAATGGCACAACATACCTAAAATGTAATACTTTGGATATCTTTTGTGGGAGAGTTCAGTGTGAGAATGTGGGAGACATTCCCTGTCTGAGAGATCACTCTACTTTGCAGCACACTCATATCAATGGTGTCACCTGCTGGGGTATCGGCTATCATTTAGGGATGGACACACCTGCTGTTGGTGTAGTGAAAGATGGCACCATGTGTGGGCCAGGAAAGATCTGCATACACAAGAAGTGTGTCAGTCTGTCTCTCCTGTCACAAGTCTGCCTGCCTGAGACCTGCAACATGAAGGGGATCTGCAATAATAAACATCACTGCCACTGCACCTATGGGTGGTCCCCACCCTACTGCCTGCACAGAGGCTATGGAGGTAATGTTGACAGGGGCCCAGCATCTGCCAGAAGAGGAGTTTTCTCACCACTCATTGTGATTCTTAGTTTATCTGTTTTGCTTTTACTGTTGACTGCTTTATTTATGTACCATCTAAAACATTTTGGTCCCAAGGAGACTACGGCTCATTCTGCAGGTTAAGAAAATGCCTCTCATTTAACATCCTGTGCATTATTAACTTTTAGTCTGTTGGCAGTAGAAATGTTACTACATGTCTAAAACTGAGCACATTTTGGACAGTTTACAGAAAAACACAGAGACCTTCCCTTCTATCAGTATCAGAAACATTGCCATCAAGCAAAGGTAATTCCTAATATCCACCTATCTACTGTTCATTGTTGTAAGCAGCAAATAAAGCTCCATTTTCCCCCTGCTAGTTCTCTTTGTGTTTCTTGAGCACGAATATGACTCATGGGAAAGGCAGGAGACAGACATGTGAGGACCCAGGGATGAGTCTTGTCTCTCTGTTTACTCCCAAAGTAACTTCTCAAAGGTGCAGAGCATGTATTTCTTGTTGTCCGCATAGTTGATTTCATTTATCAGCAGTTGGGTACTTATGTGATTTGGATTGGGATTGGGATTTGGAATCATGCAAATGTTTTCCTAATGACATGCATAGAAGCAGCAGAAACTGCAGGTTCATGCCATCAGGGGAACTCTGTAGACATCAGTTCAATGAATGCGACTTCCAGAGTGGTGCGATGGGACATCCCATCGGTGCCCAGAACATGGATATGTGCAGAACGGGATTCCCTGTAGTGACAGGGCCTACTGCTATCAAAAGAGATGTAATAAAGTTGGGAAAATTACTTAAATTTTCTAACATTCTGCTCCAAAATCTGAAAAGGATGATGATAACATTGCTTGTCCCGCCCAACCTCTTGGGTTTATTTGGTAACCAAAAGAGAGAAAGAAATGAATTCTTGTTAAAATGTAAACAAATTGTTGTTTTTTTAATAAAAACTCCTGACCCTGATCCCTCTGTTCCTCCTAGTCAAACATGTCTGCTCTAACTCTTTGCCGTCATTTGGCAGTTTGGGTACCCTCTTGGAGTATTTGCTTTGAATGCCAGAATATAATCTCCATGAGGGCAGGGTTCTTTTTATCTGTTTTGCTCACTGTTGTATCCCAATACCTAGAATGGTGCCTAGTGCACAATAAACATTTGAATGAAGTAACTAATTTGAATAGATTACTAATTGCATGAAATTAATTAGGAAAAATAAAAATAATACTTTGGTCCTCTTTTTAAAACTGCTACAGCTCTTGCTCAAAATTGAACTTTGGATATTTAAAATATGTGTATTATAATGCTATCTTTGGTACTTGCCCTTCACCAGTCTCTTTGTCTCCAATTTGTCTTCTGAGTCTATCCTCAGTGTTTTTGGAAATCCTGTCTTGAAAACACATATCTAATCAGATACTCTCCATATATGGTCCCAGTAACTTCTGAATGGCACTCTTTGTACATTGTGTCAAGTGACATTTTTGATATCATTTTCCATTATGCTTTACACACTTTGCATCCTCTGGCTATTTTCTGTTTTGAGTATACTTCTCTGCTCTTCCAAGGACACTGGTAAGAAAATGATTGGGAGAAAATATTCAATGTACATATATGTAAAAAAAGCTTCCAAAAGAAGATGTGAAAATGGTTAATAAACACATAAAAAAATGCTCAACATCATTAGTCATCAGGGTAACACAAGTTAAACCACCATTACGTCCCACTACAGACCCACTAAAATGGTAAAGATTAAAAGTCTGATGGTTCCAGAGTCAGGGGTGGGGCAGAGCAACTGGAGTTTTCATCCCTTGTTAGTGGGAGTGTAAACTGTTATAACCACTCTGGAACACACTTTTCGCAGTTTCTTATAAAATTAAATATACACTACTCTATACTCAATAATTCTATTCTTAGATGTTCAGCAGAAATCAAACACATTTTCTCCAAAAGACTGGTATGTGAATGTCCACTGCTGCTTTATTCATAAACAGCTGCAATACTGGAAACAACCCAAAAGTTCATTAACAGGTGATTGAAAAAACAAGTTTTGTTAGAATCTCATAATGGAATACTGCTCAGCAGTAAAAAAAGAACAAACCACTGATAAAGCAATAACTGGATGAATCTCAGGAAAAAAATGCTGAGTGAACAAAGCAAGACTCAAAAGAATAATACTATTTGATTGAATTTATAGGAAATTCTAGAATAGGTAATATTCTATAGTGATAAAAATCATATGAGTGGCTGCATAAGGTAGAGGTTGGGGGGACTGATTGCTAAGTGGCACAAGGAAATTTAGGGGGTAACGGTATTGTTCTATATCTTGATCCATGTGTATATATGTGTCAAAACTCATTCTTCTGTTACACTTAGAATGAGTCCATTCAAGATATTGTAAGTAAATTATACATGAATAAAGATTAAAAATCATGAGTTCATATTAATATTTTCTTTCAAAAATGGAAGACTAAAATTTTTGACTTCTCTGATTGCTTACTTGTAACTTTTTTCTCTTATATTAACTTTGCTACTTTTTGCTTTACCCTATACTATATATCAAATACTTTCAAAATAACAATACCAATATTATTACAACAAGACAGCATTTGAAAGTCACTTGAAACAATTCTATTGCCTGTGTTTTTATGTCATCAACATGACAGGCATATAGGTTCCTTTATTTCAGTTTGTTTTCAATTTTGAGTCATTGGTATTTGGGGGGGTCAATTTTTGTTTATATTGTATAGTCATTAACATGATCCTAAATTGAAACCAGATAACCGATGCTGTTCAAATAAGTCTTATTTCTATCCCAGACTCTTCCCCCACCTTATTTTCTCCATTCCTCTCAAGTAAACATGTCATTAGTTTTTGGTTTATTTATCCAATCTTTCTTTTTTGCAAATATAAGCAAATAAGTGTGCATATTTGAATCAGTCCTCTTCCTTATGTCGATGCAAAATAACCAATAACCATTTTATAGATAAGAGAAATAAGGTGAGTTTTACTTGGGCCTGAGTGAGGATTATAACCTGGGAAGGCCTTAGAAAGCGTTGCGGAGAAGCATGGTTTTCGGCACAGTCATATCTTTTTAGAACAAAGAAGAGACATTAAATACACCCAGGATACATTTTCATCAAAGTTTCAAAGAAGTATTCAGTTGCAAATTAGCAGGTCAGCATGACCCTGATGTCAGGAAAGGGACTAATCCAGGCGTTACCAGTAGGGCATAGGAGGGGAAGCATGCATTCTTAAGAGAGTGCGTTCTCTATTTTAATGGTTAAAACAGATGTACAATGTATGTTTGATAGGCCATAAGTCAGGCTTTTTAGTTCAAGTCGAATTGATTTTGAACCCGAACAGTTACCTCACATACCTCAATATGTGAAAATATCTTTTTTTTTTTTTTTTTTTGGTCACTTACAGAAAGAGTAGCAGCATATTATATATACTGTGATGAATCTGGCTTTTTGTCCCATAAGAACAGGTCCTGGAGATCATGTCATATTACTGTAAGGAAATCTTGTTTATCCGTTTTTAATGTTGCAAGTATCCAATGTGTGGAAGTACCATATTTTATTCAATTGGTCCTCTACGGGTAGGCATTGGTGTGGCTCCCAATCTTTTCCTATTAATATGCCTTAAATAACCTTATACCAGAGTAATTTCCAAGTTTTGAAACATAGCTCTGGGACAGAGTTCCAGAAGAAGGATTGCTGGGCCCAAAGTTAAGTGCACATGTATTTCTGCTGGATATCAACAAATTCCACTCCATAGAGGCTCTACCAGTTGCCATTACCACCTGCACTGTATGTGAATCCATGTTCCCCATAATCACACCAACGGAGTGCGGTACCTTTGGCAAATTAAAGAGGGCTGCAAATTCCTTGACATTCCTCCCCTTGAGATATGGGTTTATTTTACATCCCTGTGATGGCTAATTTTATGTATCCAGATGCCCAGATAGCTGGTAAAATATTTCTGAGTATGTCTGTGAGGATGTTTCTGGAAGACATTAGCATTTGAATCAGTTGACTGAGTAAAGAAGGTCACTCTCACCAATGCAGGGGACATCATCAGATCACCGAGGGCCTAAATAGAACAAAAAGGCAGAGGAAGGGCAAATTCCCTCTCTCTGCTTGAGCTGAGACATCCATTTTCTCATGCCCTTGGACATCAGTGCTCCTCGTTCTCAGGCCTTCGGTTTTGGACTGGGTTTTACACCATCCGCTCCCCTGATTCTTAGGCCTTCAGACTCAGAATGAACTACACCACCAGCTTTCCTTGTTCTTCAGCTTGTAGATGGAAAATCGTGGGACTTCTCGGTCTCCGTAACCATGTGAGCACATATCTCATTGGTTCCACTTCTCTCAAGAACCCTGACTAATATAGACTTTGATACTAGGAGTGGTTCTAGAGAACAGAATTTTTCTCTTTTTTTTTTTTTTTTGCTGAGAACTATTCACCCTGAGCTAACATCTATGCCAGTCCTCCATTTGGTATGTGGGATACCACCACAGCACGGGTGATGAGTGGCGCAGGTCGCGCCTGGGATCTGAAGCCGCAAACCTGCACCGCCGCAGTGGAGCATGCCAAACTTTTAACCACTCGACCACGGGGCCAGCCCCAAGAGTAACAGAATTTTAAGCATGAGTTTTCTGAATTGGTTCTGGGATTTCTGAAATTGGCTCTCTAACCTGATTAAATTTAAAGACTCTGGGGGAAGTCAAGATGGCGGCGTAAGCAGAACTCACCTCCTCCCGTGGACACAGCCCATTTACAACTACTCGTGGAAAAATTACCCCTGAGAGAGAACAGAAAACTGGGTAAGAGGAACTCCTCCAACAAAAGACAACCCTAATTGAGGTGGAAGAGGCAAAAACTCCCTTCGGGAGAGAAAAAACATCGCCTTCACAAGCCGCCAGCTGCACGGCTGCCGGGGAGCAGCCCACAGGTATGCAGCGCTCCCTGGAGGCGTGGGGGTCCTGAGCCGGGGAGCACCCCCACTGTGGGCATTTTGTGGTCCCAGCAAAACCGAGACGAGTGGCATAATATCTGACTTTGCCTGCTACTAAAACATTGAGGAGTACCCCCAGAAAAGCGGGTTCACAAAGAAATTAAAACTGGCTCTTAA